AGTGAAAGCATAAAATAAAATTCAACAAGTCAAGACCAGCTGGGAGAAGGGGGGGTCGGGGGGCTCGTGGCAGAGCCCCCCATGCAGTGGGGATCACCCCTCACCTAGCAGGACATGGTGAGTTGGAGCTTTTTTTATCAAAGTGCAGGAGCAGGGCGGGGTGCGGCAGCCATTGCCAGGGCTGGGACAGCGGGTGGGGGATAGGCCTGGGTGATTCAAAGATTTGGCTGAATTGATTCAGGACAGTGATTTGAATCACCAAATCAAATCACTGTTCCCTGAATTGGCCAAATCCGAAGCGAATACTAGCCGCTTTGCACAGGCCTAATGTTTAACTGCTTGGCTGATAGGGATAGGCTATTGACCTGAGGTTTTAAGAACTAATGTTAATTAAATGATTGCTACTTTGTATATAATAAGTGTTTTAAATGGGATTTCTGGTATCTCAATTTCAGCTGAACTCTATTTTAAGTAAGATGAGCACCCTCTACAGTACTGGGACTGTCTGTAAACCTGGAGATCCTTTTAACTGTTTACTGCTAGAGCCAGGTACAGTATTAATTAATAGTGTTTGTACAATGCTCTTTATTGCAGGTTTTAGAAGTGGAACAGAGCACAGAGAAGGTTTTTAATAGTGAAAGATGATCTTGCTTCAAATGACCTTGCTTTGGATATCTTTATCTAGTTATTGTTGTTGTTTCATGTCCAGTACAATTTTGCTGGGACTTTATACACGTGGAATAATTTAGTGAAATAGCACATATTGCAGAATTCATCGATCCTTCACCTGGCCAGTTCAAAGGCCTTGTGAACATTTCCTGAGGTCTGTGGTAGGGAATGCTACAGTGAAGCTGCAGTAAAGCTCTGCACACAAATATTACCTGAAACAGATGTAATGTAGATGCCTTAGTGCAGTACTGGGCGCTCACCAACATATTCATTCTCTTGGGTGCAGAATAAGAACATAAGGACTGTCATTTAGTGTATTAGGCCATAGGTACATCTTGCCTAGTATCCTGTGTCACATGGTGGCAGAGAGCGGATGCTGAAAGGGAGAGTGAACTGGGTATGACCAGGGTGTTTCACGTCTTCCTCTCCCACTTGCAATCTTAAGCACTGTAGATACTAAAACCTCACCTTAGTATTTTGTGTGTTCTGATGACAGGTTTGGATGTCATTATGGCTAGTGGGACTGATTATTCAGAGAAACTCTGGGCTTGGCAAGGTTGGAGAGCAGACGTTGGCAAGAAGATGAGGCCACTGTATGAAGAATATGTTGAGCTGAAAAATGAAGCTGCAAGAAGTAATAGTAAGTTGCAATTACATTTGTTTTTCCTTTCAGAAATGCAGCGAAGAGGATTTGCTGCAGCCTATTTAAAGTTTTGCACAGTCATTGAACAGGTTATTCTCAAGCAAAATCATGATTCATCACTTTCCACCTAGGGGTGGATAGAATTCTACACACAGTTTGCACTCCCTCCACACATGTAACTTGCTGCATAAAGTGCAAGGGGAGTAGATATTCAGGCCAGGAATCAGATCAGACCAGATACCATACTGAAGAGACTATATTGTTATTTTCTTTAACAATGACACAGCAGCATCTTTTACTCCTAAAATCTAAAAAAACACAGCTGCATATGTCCTATGTGCAAACTTCTGAGTCAGTAATTGTGGACTTAGCTTAGTTTTTCAGTTTCCAATGAGCTACACTCTGTATCAGAGGGCGAATGCCCTTCTTCAGTGGTGCTCAAATTTCTGGTATTGAGGGCCAGAAGAGTGGTGCAGGGTCGATCTGTGGGCTGATTCCCACAGGCAGGGTCAGTCTTTAGGTCAGATCCTGCACAGAAGTGGCACGTGTGGTCAGTCTATGAGTGTGATCCAGCATGCTGGATCCAGCCATGTCCCTGGCAAGTGTGCTGGCTTGACTCCATAACCTGAATCCAGCCATGGAGTGACCCCACACACCGGCACAATCTGCACGCGGAGCCATGTCATCCAGCCGGCAAGGCTTCCCCTGGTTCTGGAAATGTTGTGGTGAGGAAACTGCTGCTATTACTGCTGACACCACTCCCCTGTTCCCAACCTTTCAGATCTGTGGGGTGGATGATGCTGCCCCACAGGCTAGAAGTTAAACACCACTGGCCTTGTGGAAATTTCAGTCCAGACTGTATCAGTACTGCCTCAGGGGATTGAAACAACTAAATCACCCTCTCCTCGTGTAAGAATATGGCTTTGTTTTCCAGATTATAATGACTATGGAGATTACTGGAGAGGAAATTATGAAACAGATTTTCCTCCAGAATATAGATTCAGTCGTAACCAGCTCATTGATGATGTAGAACGGACATTTGAGCAGGTACAGATTCAGTGCCAAGTCTTGCGGGATAATTATTGTGGTGACATGAGCTTCTTTTGCTATTTCTACAGGTTTGTTTTTCATGAGGAGAATCAATAGCTGCAACAAGAGCTGTTGATGCTGGGGGAAAGTGGTAACATTCTGGCAAGTCTGGTGGTTTGGGTTGGTGGAAGCGCAGACTGGTTTGGCTCATAATAGTTATGGTGAAAAGCAGGGTAGATTTACACCTTATAGACTGAATCAGATAAGGTGCAAATCTACCCTGTCTTTTCTGCCTGACTTCACACTAGCATGGCTGATTACTTCTCTCATAATATTATTATTTTCACAATGCTTTCACTTGCCGCTTTACATTCGCACGAATATAACATTTCAAGGGTAATCTGGGGCAAGCCCCAAATTTATGTGAACCTGGCCCCTTTCCTAGAATTAGCTTCCGTCCTTGGTCCAACAGGCCTCAATTTATTCCAAAGTCTATTTTTCCCATTTCCAAGGGGCAACCGTGGGAAGATAGCTAAGCATCAGAAGGAAAGATAAGGGGAAAGATAACCAGGGGTAGATCCAGGGTAGGTGCACTGATGCACTTGCACCCCTCTTTGATTCCTGCTCCACCCAAAGTTTAAAACTGACTGTTTGGAAGTGGCAGCAGCATTTCTAGGCAGGCAGTGCTGAGGGAGCTACTTGACTTCTTGGCTCATTGTAATCTACCTAATCCCTTCTAAGCTCTTCATTCCACAGGTGTTAGCTCTCTTCTTTTTAATGGTCTTGATGTTCCACCAACCAAGCTATCCTTAGTTCTGAAATTCTGCTATCTGTTTGCTGCTCCTGGTAATGAAGCTCCTATTTCACAGCCCTGCAGACTGTTTTGAAATCATTCCAGGAAGTTCTATTTGTTTTTTCTTCAAACTGAAATGGAATAATATAGCCCTAGGCCCCTCGCATATTAGTAAAGCTTCTAATTTATTTTTTACTGGAGAAAAATACGTGTTATGATGAAGTACTTCACCATCTGCACTCCCCACTTTTTGAAATTCTAAATCCAACCATAGAGATAACTCAGGTAATATGGGGTCCTTCTCTTGTATGGAGGTTGCATGTGGCCTCACAGGGCACGTTCCCATGAGTGGGGACATACATTTCCCTGGGAACAAACAGCAGTAGCACAATATGTGCCCCTGCAGCTTGTTCCCAGGAAAAGCCTGTGCATGCATGCTCTGGCACATAGCATGTTGCCCCGGGTGAGGTAGGGGAGGTTGGGGCTAGCACCTGGGCTGGCTCCGGCATCCTTACCTAGGGCTCTGAGGGCCTCTGCAGGCTGCAGCCATGGCAATCCAGCAACATGGAGCCTTGCTGGCAGCCGGAGTGTGGCTCTGGTTTCCAGTGGCACACACTGCTGCCATGTGCACCGCATTGCTATTTTAAGGGATGGGGGTTTTTGGCACCAGGATCTCCCAGTGCCAACCTGCCCCCCATGTGGCACCACATACCACACAGCCACACTCATCTGGACATGCCCACAGAGTATATCTGAGCCATGGGTCTGCAGTGACTTCTGTTAAGTGGCACTATATGGCTACCACATGACTCGTTCCTGAGCAGTATCAGTAGGGTCAGGTACTGGAGTCCCCCTTTACCATGGAGGAAAATGAACGATATGTTCTGGAGTGCATCATCACTTGACCTAATAACAAGGAGTACAGTATCCAAGGTGTATTCACCTGCAACTCTACCAGCATCATATACACCATTATCTGTTTACAATCCCCCTCTGCTGTCTACTTTGGACAGACAGGATGATCTCTATGTGTAAGAATGAATGAACACCGATCTGACATCAGCTGCTGCAGAACGACAAAAAACCTGAGGGAGAACACTTCAGCCTCCCTGGATACTCCATCCCTGACCTCAGGATTGCTGTTCTCAGGCAGAAAAATAAATAAAATCAGTTTGAATGGGGAATTGCAGAACAAGAAATCATCCACAAACTGAACTGTTAAGTATAGTTTAAAAAGGGGCTATCGATTCTTATCCCATTATCTGGATTAGCTTTTGTAACCCATTTGTTTCTATGGGTTCTTTGTGTGTATGCCTCTCACAGCACTGTCCCTATACTTCTTCCCCCTCACTCTCCGCCTTGCTTTCCTATCTATTGTATTCTAATCATTCAACCTACTTTATACTCTACTTTATGCTATCCTTTTACAGCATCTGAACTTGGGTTTACAAAAGTTTGTGCTCTCTCTATATATCTTATTTATTTAGTCTATAAAGATGCATACTGACCCTGGCTTCTGACTGACTTCAGACTAACACAGCTATCTTCCTCTTTTTGAAATATAGTCACTGAATGTTGTATTCATGTGCTCAGATTATTTAACAGGTATATTACGATAGCCTCCCCACCCCCCAAGTTGGTTTAAATTTCTAGGCTCTTCATTCAGGATGTAGATTTAGATAAATTAATTCCTCTGTGCTATATCTCCTTTGTGTCTTTTCAGATAAAACCTTTATATCAACAACTGCATGCTTACGTAAGGTATAAGTTGGAACAGGTCTATGGCTCAGATCGCATCAGCAAAACTGGATGTCTGCCTGCCCATTTACTTGGTATGAAAATGCAGCTTTACTATATTAGCTTGTTTTCATAAATGTTTCATAAATATTTATGGGGTGGAGGACATAAACAGCTACATATACAGTAAGACATACAATGTACAGCCTGAGTGCATGTGTAGGAAAATGCTACAATATGCAGTGAAACAAATTTAATAACTACTGATTGTAAGCATGATACAGTATGCACTTAATTTTTTGTAACTTTTCCCTTTCCATTGAAGGTGACATGTGGGGGAGATTCTGGACAAATTTGTATCCCTTGACAGTTCCCTATCCAGACAAACCAAACATTGATGTAACTCGTACAATGGTCGAAAAGGTAAAACTTAATGTGGGTTGCATTGAAAATTCGGTTTTGCTGTGATTTATGTGGTTCTGTACATGACATTTTTAGATAGCATTTAAAATACATCAAATGTTTCAGCTTTCACCTAGAATACTATGGCTGGCCTGAGGTGAAGTCATGTCCTAGGCACTGAATTATTGTCTACACATCCTTTCATAGTTTCCTTTATTCTTCCCCTGTGTTTATCTGTCTGATTCTCATCTGTTCTAATCTTCCTTGACTCCCCTTACTCTTTCTATCCTCTTATATGGTCCAGTCTCAATTTCAAATCCATTCCCCTCTTCTGCATCTGTTCCACAAATTGATATTTTATGAGTATAGAGAGTCCAATAAAATAGAATCCCACCCAACATAGTCTGAACTGAACAGTCATTACCAGGCATCATTCTGGTCAATCCATTTGGATGTTGCCTCTTGTTTTCCTCCTATTTTCCTGTCTTGTCTCCTTACACTGCTAACTCTAAGAACAGGGACTGTTTAGTAAAGTCCTAGTACAATAAGGCCACATTGGAATTTGTAGCCTGAAATTTTGCAACCTGGTACTCTTATGAGAAGCGGGAGATATGGGCTTGGATCCCATCAGGCTGAGGAGAGCTTATAACCCTGGCCTCCCATGTCTTGGAGGTGTGCTCTAATACTAGCCTTAAAGAATTATGTAGTTAGGCGCCTGTCTTGATAAAGGAAGGTAGGCACTCTGGATTCCAAGTGAATGGAGATGCCAGTGTCCAGCCTTGGTAAGACTTTAAGCTTTAAGCTTTGAAGAGGGATGAAGATAAAGAAAAACCTCTGTGTTCAAGCGGCTGCCTATAAATATGCTCAGAGGTGGGGGATCTGGCCCTAAGTGACTTTGCCCAGAAGAAAAGCAGAGCAGAGATAGGAATTGCATCTGGTCTGCTACATCTTAGGCTTACACCCTAACCACTGAAATCTACTTCCTCTCTTCATGCTCTAGTATCTGATGTTAAGCAGCAGTAGGTCATTGCTAATGAAATTTAGAGGAAGGTTTAGACTTTGAAATGTAGTTATGGCCTGATAAATGACTCCTAAATTGTACTCTTATTTATTTATTATTTTTACTGAGATATGCTGTTTCTTTGAATTCTTGGTTACAGGCTCAATTTTCTTCTCACACTCATGTTGCATCCCCATCTTTGACAAGCTACTCCTGATTTATAAATTCCCTAGATTACTGACGAGAATAAGTGCTTTCCATCTTATCTTTCTGTTAACATTTTCTATTTTGGATTCTGGGTTATCAACAGAGATCCTAGTTTTCTCTGATTTAAAAAAAATCCCAATGTTTGGATTAAAAGTAACCCCAAATCCATATTTTTCCATTATTAAAATGAAATGCCACTAATATATAGATATACATATAGTGGTATTTCATTTTATCACAGAAAAAATGTGGATTTGGGATTACTTTTTTAACCAAAAATTGGGGATTTTTTTAAATCAGAGAAAACAAGCATCCCTGGTTATCAGGGTGAGTTGTTAGGTTGGCCATTAGAGAAAACTAATACCATATTTGAAGACAGTTAGACTTTGATTTGAAGTTGTTGAAAAGTAATATATGTACAGTCCTTTGGGCTGGTTTTTGGCATTGTGGAAATGGACTACCTATAGAGAGATTGGTTAATATTATAACCAAATTATCACTGTCTGTTTCAGAACTGGGATGCTTCAAAAATATTTAAAGCAGCTGAGAACTTTTTTGTTTCCATTGGCCTCCCTCCAATGACTCCAGGTTTCTGGAACAACTCTATGCTTACTGAGCCTAATGACAGAAAGGTGGTTTGCCATCCTACAGCTTGGGATATGGGAAATAAGGATTACAGGTACTGAAACTACTGTGAATCCTTCTTACAGGTACTCACAGAGTGTACACAGCTGTATATTCTACACAGAATCAAACTGCTACTTTAATACTATCATTTTTTTCCTTAATTTTATATTTTTAAAAATAAAATTAAAGTTTTAGAGAAGTTCAGGGATTTTAAGTCTGTAATTGCAACCTGTTATGTAGGGATCAGTGGATTACCCTCTTGTATAAATTAGAGGAGTTTATTTATACTTTTGTAAGTTAAGGAAAGAAACAATTTCACATAACTTAAAAAAAATCACAAATGAACAATGAATTTTCTGAGACCTTCTAAGATGCAAGTCAGTGAAAAAATATATCCTTATGGGCATGTCTACATGGTCATTAATGTGCAGTAGTTACTGCATATTTAATTTAGTACTTGTATAATCAAGTACTACATAAATATGCAGTAACTGGAATTACTGCACAGTAGTACCGACAAATGCCTTTTTAGTGCCACTATTGCACAGTAGCCTAATAATACTGTGCAGTAGCATATTAGCACTGCCCATGCTGTGACACGCTACTGTGCAGCATTATTAGGCTACTGCACAATTAACGTCTTGTGTAGATGAACCCCATGTGCTTAATTAATTAGTATATAGTAGGAATGTGATTTTTTTATATAATAAGGCCCCTTGGAGGAGATTTTATCTCCCCTTGAAATCAGCTGTAGTTACCCTACAAAGAGAGAATAAGATTAATGGAAGGTTGCAACTTATTGGTCAGTGAAATGGGTCTGAAAGTTTCCTATCTTTCATCTTGCATCAGTGTTATTTGGTGGTGGTAAAGAGAATCCACATTTGAAAGTTGAGGTGCACCAATATATCATTCCATACCATATCAGCACCAATAAAAGGCAAATTGACACTATTGGCAATCAGCTTTTTTTGGTCTATGTGGCTGATAATGTCACCGATAAATGCTGCATGCATGCATGCAGCCACAGTATGCACATGGCCAGGAATACACCTGAAAGCTTGGAGAACAGAGTCTAGCTGGTAAGTCTGTGGCAGGGCAGAGGGGTTTGGGGAGGCAGATTGAGGTCCCCATGGTGAGGGAGGGAGTAGGGCTGCAGGAGTCATGGTGCCCCCTGGATTTGTGCATGGTATGCAAGTGGGCTGCCCACTGCAGGCTGGGGCTGGGGGCTGTACCTGGCTTCTCCCAGTGGGATGACTGGGCCGGGGCTGTGCTCAGGGTTGGCATGGGCAGGGGGGTGGCAGTGTCACTGGGGGGACTATGGGGTGGGCTACAGCCACCCCATATTCCCCCATAGTCCTCCCTCCTAGTGCTACCACTGCCTACCCTGAGCACAGCCGTGACTCAGCCCCCACTCCAGTAAGAGACTGGCATAGCCCCCCGCACTGGCTTGCAGTGGGCAGCCCGCCCTCACCCCATGCACAAATCTGGGGGACACTGTGACTCCCCCGTGGGTGCATGCAGTGGCAGAAGCCAACCCCCCATTCCTGCCCTCCCATGCTCTCAGACGAGCTGCCTGTGGTGCCATCCTGTGCCCCACCCTACCCCAGCTGGGCAGCACCTCCCCCAGCCCCACTCCCTCTTTCACCATGGTGGCCTTGATGTGCCCCCCCCATGCCCCTTTCCCCCCACTGACTTAACTGGATGGATGCTACTGTCCAAGCTGCCAGGCTACATTTTGGTAATTGGATCCGTATCAGCCAATATGTCTGGTTAATAATTGGCTATTGGTATTGGACAAAAAATCTTTATTGGTGCACCCCTATTTGAAAGAATAATATTTTTTTTCTGGTGGGTTTTAATTAAATGTAAATGTAAATGTAAATGTAGAAGGCTGTTCAAGGGGTTGGAACATCAAAAATAGCTGATATATTTCATGTACAGTAACCAGTATTTGTTAGTTCTCATAGTATTATACAATAATATTATTGTATTGTTTAAATGTGGCAATGGACGTTCAGCTCAGTAGGCAGTTATTTACAAGCCAAGTTTTGGAGTTCAGTCACTTTTTACATCACCATGTATGACGCGGTCAGCAATATTCTTTTTGTCTCTGCAGAATTTAATAGCAACTGAAGGTATTGTGATTAAACTGTCTTCCAAATCACCTTTGGAGAGTTATCAAAAACAGGACAGGCCAAAAGGTGAATACTTTGGAAAACCATGAGTATGCCAAACCCTACAGGGTTCATAACTGAGTTACTGAGGTTGTTTTGCAACTGAGATGGCAGCATCCAGTACTTCAAAATTGAACTGAAATTTCATAGCTGCATGACTGCTTCTTTTTAATTGCAAACACTTTTTGTTGGAATACAGGATCAAGATGTGCACCAAAGTGACTATGGATGACTTCCTGACAGCACATCATGAGATGGGGCATATCGTATATGACATGGCATACTCCAACCTTACTTTCCTCCTAAGAAGTGGTGCTAATGAAGGATTCCATGAAGCAGTAGGAGAGATCATGTCACTTTCTGCAGCTACTCCAGAGCATTTGAAATCTATTGGCCTTCTAGAACCTACTTTTCAGGAAGACAATGGTAAGACATTAAAACACACTCATGTTGTATTTTCTAGCAAAATGGGGAAATGACCTGCATGTTTTTGAACATTCCATTACATACAGTAACCTTAGTCATTACTCATTGTAGCAGGGCACTAATATGTGACTGCTCCTTTAAGGGCAGAAACTGCCTGGCTGGAGGGCCGTGCAGGAAAAACAGAGCTCCACAGCTTCAGGTTGCTTGAACAACAGCCAAATGGGACAATTGGCCAGCACCTGCAGATGGTCAGATGACTGGAAGGAAGTAGGGCTGGGGATATATAAACTTAGGCTGGAGCTAGCAGTTTCACTCTCTTTCTCTCTGGAGACTCCTAAGGGAAGGAACACAGCCTTCAACAGCTACCTAGAGACCTTTGGTCACCTGCTTTGCTGCCTAGAAGGACTAAGGCTCTAGGAGCCTATAAGGTAGCCAGGACTAGGAGATACTATTCTAGGGTGGTAATTTTATTTTCTTAAGGGGGCAGAGCATGGTCTTTATTATCAATGTTATGTTATAGCCCAGGGGGCTTATGGCTGTGTTGCTGTATGCACTGGTGGACCGGGATGAGGCTATAAAGGGAGGTTTGGAGGCCTCATTAGTGCTCAGAGAAAGGGGCTTACAAACTGGGCAGAGCCCAGCAAGGTGTGCAGAGAGCCAAGCATCAGAGAGGCACCCAAGAAAGGGGTGCAGAGAGCCCAGCACCAGTTAGGCACTAGAGAGAAGGGAACAGAGAACCCCATGACAGAGAGGAGCCAGAGAAAGGGACCCAGAGAGCCTGGAACCAGAGGGTCGCATAGAGGAGATGTTAGTAGTATGACACCTGCAAGGTTTGGGACACGATAAGGGGAGGTTGGAGTTATGTAGTACACCCTGGGCACTAAGAGGGCAGCATCTCACCTAGAACTATCTATTTATTTTCATTACAACAAGGCATGGCAGGAAAGGTAGGTGGATGGACTGCCTAGGACAGGTAGGTGGGTGGGCCGACATAGAGATCGGCCTTGGGATGGCCCCTGTCACACTCATGTCTTCATGACAGTTATGCTTTGCTCTTTTTTAGATACTGACATCAACTTCCTACTCAAACAAGCCCTCACAATTGTTGGAACAATGCCTTTTACTTACATGCTAGAGAAGTGGAGATGGATGGTATTTCGTGGTGACATTCCAAAAGAGGAGTGGATGAAGAAGTGGTGGGACATGAAGTATGTAGGGGGAACAGGAAGATGGACTTCTGAGAGAGGTTGGGAGGATGGCCCAGGGATTGACATTACCCTGGTTAAGTTCACTTTACTGAACATACTTCAGGCTGCCATGATTGGGTCCTAACAAGCAGGACCTGGGTTATTCCCTAAGTCTTCAGCTACCCTCTCTGACTCTCACCTCTTTGGCAGATTTTCTGCCCCAAATCATCACAGGGATAATTCAGCTTTCATTTTTCAGGAGTACCCAAGGAGTCAGGGAAGTAGATGGGAATCCCAAGTTACTTAGCAAAACTAATCGGATGTGTTAAAGTGGCACTGAAATGCTGTCTACCTGAAGATAAGGGTTTTGGTACTCCTTGTGGCAGAAAGCCACCTTGGTTTCTCCCCAAAAATCTCTGCCCTGTGACACTGTGATTTAAATCTCTGTGCTGTGACCATTCAATTAGGATGGGCCCAGCACACAGGGGACCACACCCTCAGCCTGTCTCTTTAGGGAACTTGAGCTGGCTGCATTCCTGAGGGAGGGGGAAACCTGCTCCCTCTGCCTACGTGACTTGCATCACTTACCTGGGTAAGGGGTTTCTACCTGGGGAGCTGGAATCTGCCCGGTAACAGGTGATGCATTTCAAATTGGTTGGCTGACAGCCAACTGGGGCTGACCTCCGCTGGCCCAGGTGAATGAGGTCACAGGGGCTATATAAGTTAGGAGGGGGAAGGAGGCGGTCTCTCCTCTCCGGCCATGAGGTGACGCAGCAGCCAGGCAGGGGACAGAGAAGCCTTAACATCTGAAACTGGCTCTCTCCCCCCAAACTCACGAGCTAGGAACCGCCTGCCTCCAAAGGGAAACTTCACCTGCCTTTGGAAGATGCTTGTGAGTAAGCTACTCAATCTGATTAGATATTTAGCTGGAAGTATCACAGATGCGTAATCAAAAGGCTACCACAGCCAGACTGTTTGCTCTTTAGGATTTCTAGATATTGCTCTATCCTGTACCCTAGTTTACCCTACCCCCTGTAATCAATAAAGTTCTCCTTTTTGACTGGTGTGGGAGACTTATTGAGGGGTGGGTCTAAATTATGCCTAAGAGACCCCTTAGGTCTGTGGACTAAGGGAGACTTTACCTTTTTGCCCCCGGACTTGGGGAAGTACCCCAAGTGCCTGTACTGGGTTGAGTACCCGTGGGACTTTAGGCCTGTGTTACCCCAAGGACACAGGGCCGCGAGACAGTCCATTCTTGGGGTGGTGGCGGCACGTTACCCCCAGACTAGCGAGTGTGCTCCGGGAGAGGGGTCGGCCGGACATAAGGCGCCCCTAGGGAGGCATTCGGAGCCTGGAAGGTGGTCAGGCGCAGAGAGGTGGGCGGCTCAATGCAGGAGCACCCCCTACTGGCCCGCCTCACGTGGTGGAAACAGCGGAGGGATACGAATACCCAGCTGTGTTCCTGAGGTGGGATCGCTGCACCCACCACACTCCTGATGCTGGGTGGACTAAATGTCTCCCTGGAATGAGGTCATTCATTTCAGAGATCTTGCTGTGCTGAAGTGGGTGTGTCTTTATGGTGCAGTTCAGGATATCAGTTCCTCAGAATGAGCTCTATACACAGAACAACAGCAGTTTAGGAGCCTCATTTAGTTCATTTGTAATTTCTGTTTGGAAGGTAAAAAAGGATATGAACAGTGATTACTTGCATATATATTTTGTCTTGTGAATGACTAATAGACACCTCTTTATTTTTATTTCCCCATTCCAGAAAAGAAATAGTTGGTGTGGTTGAACCAGTGCCTCATGATGAAACATACTGTGACCCTGCAGCCCTGTTCCATGTGGCCAATGATTACTCTTTCATAAGGTACTGACTTACATTACATTTGTAACTTACATTGTGGGATATACAAGAAGCCCCTGGTGACTAAAGCATTTGGGTTAAATTCTTAGGGTCAAAGTCTTCTTTCATTTAGAACCTGACCTAAAGCCTGCTGAAGTCAACAGGAGTCTTTCCATTGTAGGATCAGGCCCACAGACCAGTGTCCATTCATAAGGCCGTTCATAGAGCCATTCATAAGGCCGTGTTCTTATGCAGGACAAAGTGGCCTGGAAAATGCTAGCTGAGATCTCTGGCTTCACAGGGGAACTCTTCCTAGCGTGAAACCAGTAAAAATAGGTCTCTGTGACTTTCTGCGGCAATTAATCCCCTCCCAGCCCCAGCACAGGCACAGTTGTGGTTGGTTCCCTGGGACCCCCCATCCACTGGTGGGAGTGGAGAATGAAAGCCATTGTGACCCCAGATTGTATAATCAGAAACAGATTTTGGCTTTTCTGCTGTACTGGATTTTGGCACCTTGGGTTATCATGAAGGACCACTACAGTCTACCTTTAGGGTAACTTACTTGCATGTTAGAGAGGTGGAGGTGGATGAGATAGAACATTCTAAACACACTTTGAGCCCCAAGGACATCTGTACATGTGCTCCGGGGTAAAGGAGGGGGGCACTTTAATTAGAGCAGCTCTTAAGAGCCACTCTAATTAAAGCTCCTGCAATACTTCGTGTATTCAGCATCCCACACTTCAAAATGGTGGCAGGGGTGCTTGAACTAAAGCTCCTTCTACTAATTACCATGCATCAGAGAAAGTGTCAGGCATGTGTATAGGTGCCCCAAGAGTCTAGATATGCACACCACTTAAGACCAGCTTAAATTTCGAGAATGTTTCAAAAGCATCACAGGAAAATCAAATACTGTTTTGAGCCAGTCCTCCATGAACCCACTCAATATTATGTGCAGACACAGAGTTTTCCAAGCCTAGTGTCTAGTCAGGTCTCCAGGCATCCCAAACTGCACTGCTCCTCACCTTTTCCCTCCAGTACATTCAGGGCAAAGTGTTGCTCTGGAATGCAGCCAGAACTCTATGGTTCAAACCTCTGCTCCCAGCTTCTCCCCAAACCAGGGTGGGCAGACTGTGCTGTGGTAGCAGAAGTAAGGATTGTTTTTAAGTGTCCCCTATGACTGGGGCCACATCAGCTGAAAGTTCCTAACTGTGCTCTCCTAGCACTGGGGGTTGATGAAGTGCTCTGGGATTGGGCTTTCCCTGCACTGAAAATACAGCATGATAGATTCTAACACACACAAGTGGGAATGTGGTGGCTGTTTCTTTGCCAAATGCTTAATGGAACGTGTTGTTTCTGTTCCTTTGTCTCCCTTTAGATATTACACAAGGACCATTTATCAGTTCCAGTTTCAGGAGGCACTCTGCAAAGCTGCTAAACATACAGGTCCTCTTTATAAATGTGACATTACCAATTCCACGGCAGCTGGTGACAAATTGCGGTAAAAAACTACACAATTTGCTGTATAAAAGAAATTATAATAGGCCTAAGTCCGATGCATCCCTGCTAATGTTACTAAAGACCATGGAGTTATCGCAAGGATGAGAGGTCCCTTTCTGAGTCTGATTACATTAGGTTATATTAGCGGACGATCTGACCTTTAGGAGCTTAGTTTTCACTTAATGAGAAGGGAATGTATTTGCCTTAATAAGAGTGGGGAAAAAATCAGAAGAGGAAAGGAATACTTCCAGACCAGATCCTGGTAAAATAATTTGCAGATAGATGGAATATAGCAGCATTTTCCCCTCTTTTCATACACAGGAGCATGCTTTCCTTGGGGAGATCACAACCATGGACCCAGGCATTAGAAGATGTGACGGGAGAAAAGACAATGAATGCAACACCCTTGCTCCACTACTTTGGGCCCTTATATCAGTGGCTGCAAAAGAATAACGCCAATAGGCGCATTGGCTGGGATACAACCTGGACACCATGTATGTACCTCTTTAATATACAGAGTCCAGGAAATATCATGATACTGTTCTCCCATTCTGTGAAGGTTCCTGGAGTTGGGAGTAGAGGGTAAAGTTTAGAGTTTTCATTGAATAGCAGGGAAGTCAGTATGTGCAGAGACTGTGGGCACATCCACACAAGATACTTAATGCACAGTAGGCTAATTGTACTATACATTGGCACGTCATGGCAGAAGCCATGCTAATGCACTAATGCACAGTAGAATTAGTCTATTGCTCATTAAGCATCATGAAAAGACCATGCGCTGGTGCTACTGCACAGTAGTGCCAATTACTGCACATTTAGTGAGTTTCTCATAGTAGAGGTGCTAAACTTAATGTGTAGTAACAATGGCACATTAATGCATGTATAGATGTGCCATGTGTTACTGTCAACTACTATGATTGACATGGGTAGGTCTAGGATATAGTAACGGCATGGACCATGTCGGGGTAGAGACAAGGTGTAGCTGGAGTCCCCAGACTGGTGGGGGACACTGGGAAGGTGGGCAGGGAACAGGCTTATGAAGAGAGGAGACTTGCCCACTGCTGCTATTGCCATGGCTGCTGTCCCCAGAAGTATGGGGATAACTCCAGAGCTGTTCCTGCCCTGGTACAACCAAGGGCTGTGTGGAACAGCTGCATGGGAAGCTGGACTCATCCAGGGACAGTCAGGGTGACAGGCAGGTTCCTCCTTCCAGCCCCTTTTCCCTGCTTGCTCCCCAGGAGTCCCTTGCTGGCTGGGAAGCAAGCCCTGGAAGGAGGAACCTGCACACTGCTGCTGCTTTCCCTGGCCAAGCCCAGCAGCCCATACAGTTGTTTCCTGCAGCATGTGGTGGGAGTGGCTCATGAGTGGCTCTGAGGCACTAAGGCACTGGGAACAGCCAGATGGGGACAACAGTGATTGGGGGCAGGTTCCTCTTTCCAGTGCCTTCCCCAACCAGTGGGGGTTATAAAGGATGGCAGAGAGCAAGTGCAGAAAGAAGGAAGTCACCTGCTGCTGTCACTGTCTCCAACTGAGCACCCTATATAGCTGTTCCGCACAGCTGGAGCAGGATAGGAGTGGCTCGGGGGTTCCTCCTGCACCCTGGTCTGCCAGGGACAGTGGTAGTAGAAGGAGGGGTGCAGCTGTACTGCTGCACTCCCCTTGGATCCACCCTGATCAATGCTTTGTATGATTCCAAGAAATAGAACTATTGACCTTGGTAATGAATATATTGACAGAGGGGCAAATTTTAAAGATATTCCTTTTTATATTGGCTGCCTCCAAAACTCAGTATGCATAAAAAGAGAGAGGGACAAATGATTGTTTGAGGCTGCAAGGTTTTGCAAGTGCAATTAATCTGGGCCCAGAAAGGACTGAGCTAGGTCTCTTCCATGCTCTCTGCCCTAGCTGGAGGTAATTGGGCACTGGCTGAGTCATCCCTAGGGCTCTCAGGAAGAAGGCCTGAGGCCCATTGGCTTAGATCACTTCAGACCCAACAGCAGAGAGCTGTTTGAGCAAGCAGATTGCGGAGCTTTCTGTCTTGGTCTTCTGGAACTCTGCTAACCTGCTTGCTCCTTCCTAGATCTTGCCTGAATCTTGCCTAGTTTAATCACAAGAGAAGGCTGAGAGGGGATCTGGTAGCCATCTATAAACTGGGCAGGGGAGACCAGCAGGCAATGGGAGAGACCCTGTTCCCCTGAGCACTGCTGGGTGTAACAAGGAATAACGGCCATAAGCTGGCAGAGGGTAGATTCAGGCTAGACATCAGGAGGCGCTACTTCACAGTCAGGGTGGCTAGGATCTGGAATCAACTTCCAAGTGAAGTGGTGCTTGCTCCTACCCTGGGGGTCTTTAAAAGGAGGCTAGACAGAATTCTAGCCGGGGTCGTTTGACCCCAGTACTCTTTCCTGCCCATGGCAGGGGCCGGACTTGATGGTCTGCTCAGGTCCCTTCTGACCCTACCAACTATGAAACTATGAATCCTTTACCTTGATCCTTGCCTAAAATCCTGCCTGCATCTTTGTCTAGCCTGAACCTGTGCAAACCAGCTTGGAATGCTAAATGCCATTTCCTCTCTTCTCTCCTTTACTGGCCATCTTAAAAAAATGGGAATCAAGAAAGAGTTGTAGGAACTGCAAGATACTTTATTCAATGCACTGGAATCCTACCCAAGGCTGTCAGTCTAATGCTGAACTACTAAGCCACACCACCAAGGCTGCAGTCAGTATGCAGCGCAGCCTAGTGGCCGAGAACAGAGTTGTTTCTACCACTATTTTGTGAGAGAGTAAAATGTATTGCTAAAAGCCCATCACTTCAGCACTAATGATACCAGGGAGCAGCTTTATGGTATTGACTTTGGAAGTCTGACGCAATGCTCGTTTCTTTTAAAAACAGATGCTGCCAATTCAATCAAAGTACGGATCAGTCTGAAATCAGCACTCAGAGACAAGGCAGTAAGTACCTAGGTACATCGTTCTGGATGGGGTCTTCTGGAATAGACTCAGACCAATATATTACTGTGGTTTTTTAATTTCCTGTTTTGTTTTAACAGTCATAGGGCAATCTGGTAGTATCAAGTTCCATCTTATACAGTAGGCACTGGAGACCCTTTGGAAAATTCATATATCAAGGGCCAGATAGTATTCTACCTATTAAGAACATAAGTAGACTTAGGCAACTCAATGCAATTGTATTTCAGGCTACTAAATCCTCTGAGAAACAGTTCATGCAAAGTGGGTGCGCTCACCTCCTGCTTGCTGCTTCCTGTGAGTCTGAAGTCTAAGGTGAGGCTGTGTCATGAAAGTCAGCATGTTTATGTTCATTCAGAGACCTGAGCAATGTGCAGTAGTTGGCACCTAAGTGCATTTAGGCACCTACCAAGTCCTAGGTCACTTTTACTTCTAGCTTTTTGTTTCACTATTTGCTGTAACCTTTCCAGGTTCACATAAGCTCTGCTGTCCTCATTCCCTCCTTTGTCCACACTCCTACCCATGTGCTCAAATATCTTTTCTGTATTTGTTATGGGATTTAGAAACAGTGAAGCAAAGGAAGGCATCTCCCTTAATAAGCATTGACTCCTGACTACTTTGGCCCACCTACTTAAGCTAAATGTTTGGTTGAGGATTTTCTCTTTATTGTAATTCCCTTTTCATATTATTCACAAAAGTGCTGTGTAATGTCTTTAAAAACAAATACTCCGTTCTCATTAAAGCTAGTTTTTGTTTTTGGGGATGGGATCACATTAGACAGATACTTGTTGCCTATTAGACTCAAACAATAGTGGTTAGAATTCAGACCTAGGTGTAGGAAGCCATTGGTTGGTACAAATGTGGGCTTATTTATCACACAAACAGATACTACAAGTTCTATCACTCTTGCATGTAAAGTCTGGTAATTATTTTTATTGCTATCTAGCCTGATGACTTGAGGTAGATACATTTCAAAACTGATAACAGTAACATGGAATGACTCTTGAGGAAGCAATCAAAACTCATGGCAGAAGTGATATTTTTTATTAGACCAACTAGAAACTGCGCCCAAAAGCTGGTCTAAAATCTCCCCCAGCATATGATTGGTTCAATAAAAGATATCACGCATAAAAACCTTGTCTCCATATTACAACACATTTATTAGTCATTATAGTTAATGTTTACCTTAATTCCTTTTTATGCCTGGCTTTTTTGCCATCCTGTTCTTTTTGCTGTGCAGTTGAGCAGCTGTAATACAATCTTATTTAGAGTACTTAATTTTAATTACTGTATGTTAAATATGTTCCCAAGCTCCAAGGAGGAAAGCATGGGACTTTTCTTTTTCCCTTCAAACCAGTCCCTGCTTTACCAAATTACAAGCTATTTGCATTAGGTAACTCCCTGCCTTCCCGTAAATTCTATCCTGGTGACACTCACAAGAAACTGAATTTGGCAAGGGCTCCTTGCATTAGCAAGCAAGTCAGGAAGATTCCTACATAGGAATCCCTGAAGTTCACAATGAGACAGATTCAGCTCTAGCACTGGCTGCTCCATTGTGCCCAGCCAATGCACCAGCAATCCTAAACCTAATTTAACTGTGAGTTTAAGATGGCTTTAGAGCTGTTTTACACCACTAGCGTAGCATAAAATACTGTGCACCAGTGAATTTCTCTCCTCATAGCTTCTGTTTGGCTTCAGTTAAGAATGCAAAGGATCAGGGGCCCCTTTGATTCAGCAGTGAAATGCTGGATATTTGGTGAATGAGGGGACATGTTCACAAAAAAAGATAATTGGAAATGGTCCAAATTACACAACAGACCCCTTGTGTTATTGCATATAATGGTGACAGCTCTAAGATAAAGGCTCTTGTAACAAGTAATGCTGTGCATATTATATAATGTTGGCACGGGAGTTTCTATGGACCTAATCCTGCGTTCATTGAAATAATTGACAAAGCTCTCATTTATTTCAATGAGTGTAGGTACAGCCCTGAGGCTAATGCCTGGGGTAAGCTTCTAAATACCTAACTGTGTACTAGCTGCACCAGCTTGGATAACTCAGTGTAACTCGACTGAAGTCAATAGAGGTACATCAATTTTCAGCTGAGGTCTAGCCTCATATTTCTAGAAACCCAAACAGCCTTAGCTTGAGCATTACAAGATAGAGAAAAATTGCTTCTTTGCTCCTGCCTGCTGAATGTATTCTAAACAGAACAGTGTTTATATTGAAGAGTGAAAGAGACTGGTGAATGTAAAACCTGAGGCAGGATCAGGCTTTTCCTTCCAGTTGTATAAATACCATTACATTAACTGAGATGCAGTGGACTTTGGAAGAGTATCCATTTGCTTCAGTGTTATAATAAAGAAGCAGAGTTGGGCAATAGATCAGATATAACTTGGATCAGCTGGTCACATCCCTCATCAGACAGTACTGGCTTAGGACATACCTCCAACTACAGTGTAGGTATGTATATGTTATAACTGGATCTTTAAACTGGCTTGCTGAGGTCATAGTAGCATAAATGTCATCCGTTCAGTAAATAGCCAAGGTCCCTTGTCAGATTGTAATGCTATACCCCCACTATTGCGGCACAAGATGACTAGTTAAAGCTAGGTCAGGCATGTCTACACATGCTGAAATCAGAGGGTTGATTGCAGTGTGGAATACCACTGGTCGCAAATCAGGTTAATCAAATAAAAGCACCTGCAGCTTTGCTTCAGATGAGATTTTAGGAATAAACATGATTTACAAGACTAACCTGTCCATCCCCTTTTAGCTTCAGTAATTTCTATTTGGTTGAAGAAAAAATATGTCATAGATTATTTCATATGAGGATCTGTCTCATATTTTTTATTATCTACCCCTTTAAAAATAGTCACTAAAAATACTCTCTCTGGGTGCATCCAGACAAGTGCGCATGTGTGGTATGTGGCATCTCAGAACTGTCTGCAGTGCCACAAACCACACACACTGCACATGCAGGCATTTGTTATTTTCTGTGTGGTAATTTTTTGGGGCACTGTTGTCAAAAAAACCCACGTGTGAAAGAGCAGGATGGTTGCACGTGGTGGCAGCACGTGCCGCCTGAAACCAGAGCCTGGCTGGCCAGTTGCATGCTCCAGCTGCCAGCCATGCTCTGTGTGCTGGATTGCTATCACTGGAGCCCCAAGAGGCCCCCAGAACCCCAGGTAAGGCTGTGGGGGTCAGCCCAGATACTGGCCCCAGCCTCCACTACCCCACCTGGGGCAACTTGCCACGTACCAGAGCGTGTGTACATGGGCGCTCCCTGGGGGCAAGTAGCAGAGGCACAGCTATGTGCCAGTGGTGTTTGTCCCCAGGGAAATGCATATGCATGCTTGTTTGGATGTGCCCTCTGTGTCTAATGTGGCAGTGTGCCATAAGAAGCTAAAAACATGGGCTGAGATTTTGATATGACCCTTAGATTGTGGGGATTTAAGTATATTTTAATATTAACATTATTTCGGGGATTAAAGGCCAAATTGACATCTCTCAAGAAGACAGTAGCACATGAAATCTTTGTTTGAATACATGGTGTAATAATATACACAGTTTCCTGAGAGGCCGTTTCTGTTTGAAAGGGAAGCAAAGTTTCTAAATAGCTAACCTGCAGTAGGCCCAGTTCCTGATTACCTGAGACAGAGCAGTTGGTTATTGGTTACTGAAGCTCCAATCAGAAGTTTAAGTCACTTGAGCAATAAGTTCCCTCCACTCCACTTTTCTCAAATATAATAATTTTGTTTAAAAGGGCACTTATCTGAGACTTACACAGGCAATTAAACTGCATGATAGTTACAATGCTGTATATACAAAACACATTTTTAAAAAGCCAGAGGAAGTGCTAATCCCCAAAAGCACCAGTTGCGGAATCAAACTCAATGGGCGTATCCAGATGAGCCTGCATGTGTCTCTTGCAGTGTCTCAAACCCCATGCAGGAACGGGAAAAAGTTCCCCGATCCCTGGATATCTAGGGGTAAAAAAAAACCAGAGTGAAATAAAACCTGAGGCAACTGGAGGCTGGGTTCTCCACAGAGACACTGTGGTAGCAGCTAGAGTGTCTCTGTGGCTGGCCCTTGACCTGGTGCTGAAGCACACTGCCTGCCTGTGCAGGGCAGGCTGCGTGCCAGCTGCAGGGAGCTGGACCTGGGGTCCAGTGCTGGTAAGTAGGGGGTAGGGGACCATGAGGGGATCTGTGCTGGTCCCACCTGCTCCCCCAGCCCCCTGGATCCCTGCCCCGCCTAATCCCAACCCCCCACCTGCCTCCCAGCCCCACTGATGGCTGCCTCACCTGGCCCCAT